GGCACCGAAGGGCCGCGACCACTGCTCTAACGAAGCGTGCTCTGTAAAAGTGATCCTCCCCTGGAGGCGAAGCCCTGGGAGGGCTCGCAGGAAAGCAGAAGGGAAGTGCATGAGGCGTGCGTGCTTCAGGCCTCACCGGTGAAGGCTATCAGGCAGTACTTGGGCGTTCAAGGCCTTGCTACTGTCGCTCTCACTGCAGAAGCTGTGTCTCCGAAGAGGCTACTGAAAACCTGTGTCAGACTGTATGTAATGCTGTTCAACCCAGTGGAACTCCTTCCCCTCTTTCTTTCCTACAGCTGGTATCTGCTTTGCACAGCCTCACCAGGCACGTCGTGTACCGCGGCTTGAGAAGGGCAGAAGATATCCTCTCTCTCTTCCCAGAAAACTTCCACCACAATCTTAAAAACCTTTTGACTAAAATAATCTTGGAGAATATGTGAGTGCTACCCACCTGCCATTTGCTTTTAGCTGGAAAGTGAAAGTCTGTGTATCTGGTTTGATATGTGGATAGTTGGCAGTGTGCAGAGTTTTGTTTCTGCGGATTTTGTGCATGCCTTGAGCATAATCACCCAGGTTAGCACATCTGAATGTATTGAATGAAAGATGTCTTCTGAGTAGAATGGCAAACAAAACACAGCCATAGGCACAACATATTTCCCCAAGACTTTTGGAATGGGACTGGGCTTCATTCACATAATGCAAAGCCCCTGTTACCCTGACAACTCACATGTGGTGGAAAAATGCTACAGATTATGATACAACTTAGAGGGCTAGATTTCAGCACTACAGAATCTGATTGGGTAGTATCTGGATGCCTGTCCACTTACCACCTTGACTTAGGTGTAGAGACACTGTAGAGCACAATAGATGCATGAGGTGATGGCAAAGGCTAGCAGTTCTGCATGCCTGTACTGCTTCCTAGTCTATTGCTTTCATAAAACTAGGGAGAAATGTACATGCCATACGTGAACTGCACTGTAGAAGAACCAGTAATTGGTCACCAGCTTGCCTAGTACTGCCCAACCAGTGACAGCCTCTCCTTGTCACTCAGGCAGTCTCTCTTCCCTGCTCACTGCTGCAGGAGCCCTGATGACCTTTCTGTTAGGGATAAGCCATTTTGAATGCTTTCCCTCCCTTTTT